CTCTGAGGATGTGACATTTCAGCTGAGCCCTAAATGGCAGGAGTCTGCCTGTAAAAATTCAGGTACTGAGTTGCCAGTGCAAAGGCCCTGAGGCAGGGGAAAGAGAGGCAGTGGGGGTCTGTGTAACTGGCAGGGGGAGGGGGCTGCAGCCAAGTCAGGCAGAGACAGGGTGGGTTTTATTTCACAAGCAGCAGGCAGCAGCTACTGGAGGTTTATGAAGGAAGATGGTGCCAAATCTGACTTAAGGTTTAAAAAGTCCTTGATGCCTTCTGGAGAATGGGCTGGAAGCAGAATAGCTGGGAAGCCACTGTGGTTGTGCAAGGGAGAGGGGCTATAGAGATGGACAGGAATAGGTGCTTTTGGAGTGTTTAGGGGTCATGGTGGCCCCATTTATGATTGCATGCATGGGGCGAGGGCATCGGCTCTCAGGTGGGGAGCTGTACCATTCACTGAGAATCCAGCACTGAGGACCGCGAGGCTAGGCAGGGCTGGGGGAAATGGTATGCCAGGTCTGAGGTGTCCATGTGACATCAAAGGGGTCAGTTGGTGGGCTTAAGGAGCCTGGGGTTCGTCGGGGAGAGCAGGGCAGGAGGTGGCTGGGGGAGCGCCATCACATCTGGAGGGGAGCCATGGGTATACAGGAAGAGGAAGGATCCTCAGACTGAGCTGGAGTGCTGCAGCATTTAGAGCAACATTTCTTAATCTCAGGGTTTCAGCATTTTGTACCTGGTAACTCTTTGTTGCGGGGGTGGCCCTGCACCTTGCAGGAAGTGTGGCAGCATCTTTGGCTTCTACCCACCAGATGCCAGTAGCAGCCTCCTCCCTGTATTCCAGACATTGCCAAACATCCTTTGGTGGGGAGAGAATCACTCTTAGCAAGAACCTCTGACTTACAGTTTGGGAGAAGAAAAGGCTGCGGAGGAGTGGCTTTCAAGGAGGGTGCAGACCCTGTGGGTGTTCCAGGGGAAGGGCTGCTGTGCCAAATGCTGCCGAGAAAGAGGGCAGAATAAGCCTGGTGCTTGGTGATGTGCAGCAGGGCATGACCCGCCGGAGTAGACTCTAGTGGAGGGTCTGCAGACACCCTGCTGGGGGTTAAGGAGAGAATGTGAGGGGCCGGCGACAGTGCCTGGACACAGACTTGTGAGGAAGGTGGCTATGGGAGGCAGTGGAAAGGGGAGAGAGGGTGCTTTCTAAGGGGTGGGGATGGCTTTGTAGAGTAGGGGCAGTGACCATGAAAAGGGGATAACTGAAGTGGGGGGGACCCTGGCGTGAGGTGAGAGGGGTTGGGTTCCAGGGCACAGGCTGAGGACTTGCCCTTCAATCAGCAAAGAGAGTTTGAACTCAAATGCCAGCGGCAGGTGTGGGGGGATGAGCTTCTGCCTGGACTTCCCTTTTCCCCTAAGTACCAGGCAGAGTCACAGCATGGGTGGGGGACAGAGGAGCAGATGGGAGGTTGGAGAGGGAGGAGGGATGCTGATTTTCACAAGTGGGAAAGTGAATGTACTAGGGAAGTTTGGAGATTTGTGGTCATGAATTTAGAGTGAGGCCAGTCGATGCAGACAGCGTTTTGCTCTGGAAAGAGCAGCTGCTTGGTTGAAAGCAGGCAGTGGGTGGATGATTTAGGTTTGACCAGGGCTGGGGTTTTGTCAAGATCTTTATGCCGAGAGGGTGACCGATTTCTATTATAGAGGACATGACTCAAGGATCTGGGAAATGGGGAGGTTGGGGCATACATGATGGTCTGGGATAAGAGCCCAAGGGATGAGAAAGGCTGTTGCAGGGGGACATCTGGAGAAAGGTGGGGTATGTGGCCCAATGGGGGTCAGTCCCAGTGGGCCCTTAGGGGAAAGAAGGCACGGTTGTGAGCTGCTGGAATGCCAGCCCAGGAGATCTGGTGGCACCATCTCACCTCTCAGGCCTTGAGAAGTGGCCCCACGGCTTCTAACTAAGGTCTTACAGCCAGAGATGGGACAATGGTCTTGCCCTACTTTGGAAAAGATGGATCGCTTCCATGGCTAGGTTGCCTTTCCCCATGGCCTCTCTTCTTCAGGACATCCCTCCAGGGCACCCTTATTTGGACTGTCTTAGAACCCTCATGTGTATGTGTGCACTGCTGCCACTGTCCCTCATGGTCAATGACCTTGTGCCAGGTACCAGGGACAGAGAAGGCATGCCCACTCTGATGGGCAGGAGTGATACAAAAAACCCATCAGACACCATCTTAGAAGTGTACTGAGTGTGAAAGTGGTGCCGCCTGGCATTGCGGAACCTGGAGAATGGAGGTCCTCCCTCTGCCTGAGAGCGTGCTGACTGGTGAGTGGGCCCTGAAGTGTGAGTAGAGGCCCACCAAGCACAGAAGGAAGGGTGAGAAGGCATCTCTATCATAGCAAACAGCCCCAGGGAAATTCTGTAGAGTGGAGACCCAGGGCACATCCAGGGTCCAACACTGGCCTGGCAGGGTAGGAATGGAGGGCTGGGATCCAGGGTGTGCCCTGCTGCCCACTCCCCAGCTATGCAGCTGGGAACGTTCCAGGAGCTCTTGCTGCTGGCTGCTGTTGCAGGTCTGGGACTGAACTCTGCCCATCCCTATGGAACGGGATGACAGTGGAAGGTCAGGTCTAGTTTAGGAAGAGCTGAAGAAAGCCTTGCTATGGCCAGTAGGCTCCAGTTCCTGCACCTGGCAGCCTCATGGGGCTGGGTGGAGCAGGCAAGGCCTGAAGGTATGTGTGTTGGGTGAAGATGGTGAGCTTCGGAAAGGAGGGGGACCTGAGTTACCTTACTGCCTAAACGGCCCTGGAGAGTCGGCACACCCACGCTGCGCTCATCCATGCTGGGGAGGAGCTGGGAGGAGACAGTTGTAGTGGAAGGCGACAGCCTGGGGGGCAGCGCTATGGATGCCAAGGCAGCTCTGCTGCCTGGAAGGCACACCAGGTCTGCCAGCTGTAGACTCTCTCCCTGCTGTTCCTGTAGTGCCCCTTGAAGGAAGATGGGCCAGAAGACAAAGGCTGATGCTGGCTGCAGAGTCTGGGGAGCTGCTCACTGACCTCCAGCCCGAGTGTGGTTGGAGATGGTGGAAAGGCCATTCCTCCCGTTGCCCACATGGGCCTCTAGCAGACCCAGACTCTGCAGGCCTCAGGAGCCTCAGGGACTGGCAGGCACTTGCCTAAGTAGCTGCTCCCCAGGCTCCTGTAGCCACCCTCAGGGAAGGGGCTACTGACATCTCTCCATCCCTGGTGATGTACACCCAGGTGGTGCCCAGGCCCTGCCCAGCCTGGAGGGTGAGAAAGACACATCTGGGAAACTGGTTAGTTTTGAGCTGAGGCCTGGGGTTGGGGTGAGGAGGAGGCTGATTACCATGTCCTAACCCAGCCCTGGCAGCATCCACCCCATGGGCTGTGGGCACTTGCACCTCACCAGAAGCTGGGGAGTCTGGCAGAATGACAGGGACGGTGGGATCAAGGAGGTACCTACTCCCAGCACTCCCCTGTGGCTGGGGTTGTAGGTCTGGGTACCTGAGACAGGGCACCTCCCACCTGAGCCTGGGGAGGGGCTAGACATTGTCCCTGGGCACTGAGAGGCTGTGTGCTCTGCTCCCATGGAGGGGGCAGGGAGGAGGGGAGGTCCAGCAGGCTGGAGGGGACCTGGGAGGAGCTCCACTATCAGAGGTACATTGGTGCTTATTTATACAGAGAATGCCTTGCAGAGCCGTGGGCTGTGAATAAGAGGCCTGGCTTGAGGTGGGGCCTATGGCATTAGGGGCTCCAGAATGGGGTAGGGGGCAGGGAATGTCCTCAGGGCTGCTCAGGCTGGTGCTGGTGTGGCAGGGAGAGTGAGTGGGGGCCCTGGGGGAGAGTAGTTGCTCACAGCTCTTTTGAAGGCGAGTAGGGGGCCTGAGTCTGAAGTTGCTTTTAACCCCAACCTCTCTTTCCACTGTCACCCCCAGAAGGGCTTCAGTGTGTATGTAGGGGAGCCAGGTAGGACCGCAGCAGGGAGGGAGGGTCAACCCCTTCTCCCAGGAACACTACAGAAGTGGAAGGGACGCTCCTCCCTTCACAGCTGCCCCTGAGACCTGCTTTTTCTCGGTGCTGTGTGAAAAAGGCCCCACCTTTTACTCCCCAACCTCAAGATCTCCTTGCTTTACTCCCAGGCAGGGACCTCCCTTCGCATTAGGTGAGGCCGCTCACCCCTTGCGGTGTACAAACCCTTGGTTGAGTCGCAGTTGACGCTGTGATTTGAGTCCAAGACAGTTTCCCTCTTACCTCCTTTGCCCTTAATGGAAGAAACTGAGGTAGCTGCGGAGACACAAGAAGCCGAAGTCCTAAGTCCCACGTTGTGAGCGGTGGCTCTGGGGCCAGGGCAGCCGCGGACGGTCCGGGCGCGTGGACCGCAGCAGGGGGCGCTCGCAGGCTGGGACGCGCCCTCCAGGCGCGGCGCTGGCCCGACGGAGCCCGACCGCCAGGGCAAGTGCCCGTGAAGGGGTCAGGACCCGCTCCCCGCTCCCCCACCTCTCTGTGGGACGTCTCCACTGCCCGGCCGGGCGGGCTTGTGGTATATTAAGACCCGGCAACCCTGCCCCACGCCGGCCCCGCTCTCTCCACGGGCTCCCGGGAGGCGGAAGGGAGAGCAGCGCGCACCTGCCCGGCTCAGCCCGGCTCCCCCGGGAGGAGGGTCCTGCCCGCGCGCCAGCTCTGTGTCCCGGCTCCCGGCACCCACCTACTCCACCCCTGCGCGCGTCCTGCTCGGGGCCGAAGACGCCGGCCGCTGGGCCCCTCCGCCCTCCCGAGGTACCGCCGCCGGGAAGAAGGCGGGCAGGGGAGCAGGGAGTCCGGGCGCGGGGCCAGGTGCAAGGAGTCCAGGGCTCGCGCCTCCCCCGAAGAGCACCTTCCACTCACCTCGGTCCGCCCGCCGCCCCGCCTCCCACCCGCTCCCACCAGCTCCCACCCGCTCCCGCGCCCGCCTCCAGTCTCCGCCCTCCTCCAGCCGCGCGCCCCGCTCCCCGCTCCCCTGCAGGCGCTGCTGGGGCGACAGCCTGCAAGCTGAGCGGGTACAGGGGCCTCCGCGCCTCCTCCGAGAACCGGCCCCGCCCGGCCTGCGCCCCTGTGCATCCGACATTTGTGTGGCGGGAGGGTGCGACTTTCTCCGGTCCGGGGGGGACGCGGACGGCGGCGGGACAAACTCGAAAAACTTCTCTGGGGCTGACGGCTGGGATCCTGGGTGCCGGTGGAGGAGGATGTACGAGGGCGGTGGCTGGTCCTGGGTGTTTCCAACCTCCTAAGCACCGCTCGCCCAGGCCATGGGGCTCCAGCGCCTTCGGTGCCGCCGGAGGGGCGACGCTCTCGTCTAGCCGAGCTGGGCAGCGCTGTCGCCCACGGTGTGCACCGGGCTGGCAGCGCTCCCTCTGCCCACGTCCTGCCCAGCCATGGACCACCAGGAGCCCTACTCAGCGCAGGCCACGGCGGCCATCGCAGCGGCCATCACCTTCCTCATCCTCTTCACCATCTTCGGCAACGCGCTGGTCATCCTGGCTGTGTTGACTAGCCGCTCGCTGCGTGCCCCGCAGAACCTGTTCCTGGTGTCGCTGGCTGCCGCCGACATCCTGGTGGCCACGCTCATCATCCCTTTTTCGCTGGCCAACGAGCTGCTGGGCTACTGGTACTTCCGGCGCACGTGGTGTGAAGTGTACCTGGCGCTCGATGTGCTCTTCTGCACCTCGTCCATCGTGCATCTGTGCGCCATCAGCCTGGACCGCTACTGGGCGGTGAGCCGTGCACTGGAGTACAACTCCAAGCGCACCCCGCGCCGCATCAAGTGCATCATCCTCACAGTATGGCTCATCGCTGCCATCATCTCGCTGCCACCCCTCATCTACAAGGGCGACCAGGGCCCCCAGCCGCGCGGGCGCCCCCAGTGCAAGCTCAACCAGGAGGCCTGGTACATCCTGGCCTCCAGCATCGGATCTTTCTTTGCTCCTTGCCTCATCATGATCCTGGTCTACCTGCGAATCTACCTGATCGCCAAACGCAGTAACCGCAGAGGTCCCAGGGCCAAGCAGGGGCCTGGGCAGGGTGAGTCCAAGCAGCCCCGACGTGACCGTGGGGGGGCTTTGGCCTCAGCCAAGCTGCCAGCCCTGGCCTCTCTGGCAGAAGCCAGAGAGGCCAAGGTACAGTCGAAGTCCACTGGGGAGCAGGAGGAAGGGGAGACCCCTGAAGATACTGGGAACCAGGCCTTGCCACCCAGTTGGGCTGCCCTTCCCAAATCAGGCCAGGGCCAGAAGGAGGGTGTCTGTGGGCCATCTCCAGAGGATGAAGCTGAAGAAGAGGAAGAGGAGGAGGAGGAGGAGGAGGAGGAAGAGTGTGGACCCCAGGCAGTGTCAGCATCTCCAGCCTCAGCTTGCAGCCCCCCTCTGCAACAGCCACAGGGCTCCCAGGTGCTGGCCACCCTACGTGGCCAGGTGCTCCTGGGCAGGGGTGTGGGTGGTATGGGTGGGCAGTGGTGGCGTCGACGGGCACAGCTGACCCGGGAGAAGCGCTTCACCTTCGTGCTGGCCGTGGTCATCGGCGTCTTTGTGCTCTGCTGGTTCCCCTTCTTCTTCAGCTACAGCCTGGGCGCCATCTGCCCGAAGCACTGCAAGGTGCCCCATGGCCTCTTTCAGTTCTTCTTCTGGATTGGCTACTGCAACAGCTCGCTGAACCCTGTTATCTACACCATCTTCAACCAGGACTTCCGCCGTGCCTTCCGGAGGATCCTGTGCCGTCCGTGGACCCAGACGGCCTGGTGAGCCCGACTGCACTGCCCTTATGGGGTTGGTACGGCGGTGTTGGGGCCGCCTTGCTTCTTGCCTTGCTGTGTGTGGCTGCCTCCCTGGGGCTTTCTGCTCCCTGCCCAGATCCTGCAGGCCTCATCTTAGGAGCTTCTTGGAAGGGGTGTGTGGCGGTGTGTGGGGGGGTGCTGTTTGCAAGGGTCCTGGTGAAGCCTCCCCTTGCTGGCTCAGCTTGATGGGGACCCATTCTCCACCCTCTTCCTGAGCACAGGCTGATGGAGGTGGTTCAAACCCTCCAGAACATAGCCAAGACCAGAAGAGAGAGCACTTCCTTCCCAGAGCCCCATGCTCTCCAGGCCAGTGTCAGGGCTTCCCTTTCTTGAGGACCCTGTGTTCCTGGTAGGTCACTTGCTTATGGTGTTTTTGTTTTTGTTTTTCATCTCCTTCCACCCACAAAGAGCATGAAGCCAGCCTTCCACTTTTCCCAGTGGGGCCTGCTGCTGAGGAGGAGGAAGAAACGAAGACTGATCACCCATGCTGGGCACTCTTGGTCCTTGGCAGATGCTGGGATGGGGGCTTTGGGGTGGCACCATCTCTGGGCCCTTCTTTCCCCCTTTTGCCTGTTTTTTAAAGGCCAGAACTGTGGATCGGTTTCCTCACCCAGCATCCCTCCGGCAGGTGGGTGGCCACGTGGATGCCTCACTGGGGTGATCTTAGAGGCTTGGTCTCTGCCTCGACGGGAGATCCCCGATCACTGGCATTCACCTCCTGCAAAAATCGGGGCGACAATAGCTTGCCGCCTACTTGCTGCAGGGAGATGAAAGTCTTTGCAGAAAGCTTTGAGCTCCAGTGGGGGAATGCACTGGAGAACCAAAAATGTGATTATCCAGTGATATAAAAATCTCTTTCTTCTGTGTTTACCACCACCTGTCTTCCTGTAGACTTTTGTTCTGTGCCTGGGGTGTGTGAATTCCTACCCCAAACTGGAAGTGGGGAGTGGCAGACAGAATCACTATTTCAAGTTAAAGGATCTCTTTGAGAATGTGTTCTTGTGGCCGCAAATGTCTGGGTTATCATGCTGCATGACAACTTCTCAACATTTTGCGTGTAACACCAAGAGGGTTTTTAGTGGCTTGGGTGTCCCCAGTGGGGGGCAGGTCTTTTGTCATCAAGAGGGCAAATTGTTTCCCCAAGACAGCCCAAAATATCCACACTGCGGGAACAGTCTAAGATGAGAGCCTCTAACAGGTGGCAGAGCCCCCAGGTGGGGTGCTGGCATGAAAGCCCGGTGGACCCCTAGGGGAGCCTCCCACTGGAGTGCCCAGCCAGGTCTCCAAGCCCCAAATGAGTCCTTGTGAAACACAACTGATCCCCCCAGGTGGGTGCTTGTGGGCTGCCTCAGACCCAGCCATGCTGCTCCCCCTACGCTGATGGGACTGTGCATTCAGGAGCCTCTCCTTTCTGGTTCTTGGTCCCACCCCCAAACCTGGCAGCCAGAACATTGGAAGTGTGGAAAGGAGGTTTCGGGGCCTTCCCTTGGGGAGCGCATGGCTTCAGCATTGGGCCAACAGGTATCTTAGCGTGGCGGGTATGGGGGGAATGGGCTGAGCAGTGCAGACACTGTTGGCACCAGATGGACCTGCGAGATTTGGAAGGCCACTGAGGGAGTTTTTGGGGTGTAGAGAGAATGGAGTGGACCAAAAAGAGTTCCTCCTGGGGAGTGGGAGGCTTCCCAGTCTGGGCCTCAGTGGGTTGTCATTGTGAGGCCAGAGCATTGCCCTGGGGTGTGGTGGGGAGCTGGGCCAGGGGAGGGACTGACTGTGACCCTCTGCCGGCCAGTGCACCCCATGGGACCCCCAAGTGTTCTTGCCTGTGATCTCTTATTGTGACATGCAGGTGTTTTTGGCTTTTTTTTTTTTAAAGTCTGAGCTATTTTGTCAATAAAGGATATTTTGTAATAAGCAAGCGGTGTCCTCGTTGCTCAAGGGCTGTCTGGAGCAGTTATTCCTCAGCTGCTTGCACAGCAAACTCTGGGTGTTGGCCCAATGAGCTGGGGCTCGCTCTTGGGGCCAGTAGTCCTCTCCTCCCTTAGATGTGGCTGGCTGGTCTCCCCAGGCCTCTGCCCTGCCTGCCTGCCTTCATCCACGCAGGATCCTTACTCATCATCACAAGCCAGTGGGTGAGGGTGGCTGAGGAGCCTGAGACTGGCTACCTGGGAAGGGAGAAAAGGGAGGGCTTCCTGGAGGAGATGGCCTTTGGGTTGGGTCTTGGAGGAAGAGCAGGAGTATACCAAGAGGCAACATGGGAGGATGTTTTGGGTAGGGGGAAAGGCATGTGTAAAGGATGTTGTGATTGGTAGATTTGTGACTGATTTTAAAAACAGCCCTAAGCTAGCCCTGCTGGGTGGTCTGGTGCCACAGCCTTCTTGCCCTACTTAGTCGCCCCTGAGTGGGCAGTCCTGGGGACCTGAACCAGGTTGGTCTGGTCCCATGGGTAAGGGATAGCACCAGTGGCCACCCCAGGGAGGAGAGGGAGAAGGGAGGAGAAGTGAAGCCCCAGGGCCCTCAGTGTGAGGCTACCCTCTACTTCCACATTGGCCCAGAATCTTTAGTCTCACCACCTCCGTACTGTCATGGGGCATGCTTCTGCTAAGGACAACCAGTGGGACCTCCAGTGTACCCACCATCACTGATGACATGGGGACGTGGGCTTCACTGAGGAATTATCAAGAAAGACATGCCCTACCCTACTCTCAGTTCCCCGCACCTGCCGAGGTGCCCACTGCTGACACCCAGAGGCCTGATATGGGTAGATGAGGATAGTTCATTGACTCCCTTTTACTCATCCAGGCTCTTCTGGCTTTGTCTGATGACCTCATTTAATCCTTATGCCTGCCTGTAAGGTAAGTATCAGCCCATTTTATACTAGCGAAATGCAGGCTGAGAAAGCTGTAATCACCTGCTTGAGGTCATCCAGGCCCAGGTTCTTTCTGCTGGACCACACTGTCCCCTGGTGCTTAATCATCTGCAAGGGGCAGGCCTGGGGCCTGTGAGTAGAGCACCCTGCCCCATCTCTGGAAGTGGTGCTAGAAAGTTACCACTGCAGGAATGGGACTGTTTGCTAGCCCATTTTGAATACATCAACTCATTAATCCTCACAACCTTGCTGAGAGTGATCATTTAACCAAAAACAAAATTCAGACTTAAGGTGACCTCTCTAGGTCCTGAAATCACAAAACTATGGAATTCAGGTGATGAAGAATTGTGATTCCATCTCTTGGGCCAGCTCACTCAGTGGCATTGGGTATCTGAGATCCTGAAACTGCATGTGGATAGATTCGGTAGGTGACTGTGCTGTGATTGATTGTTCATGTCTGTCACTGCCACAGAACATGTAATTGATGGCAGATATGTCCCAGGTTTTCCATTCCCCACAGCTCAGTTCAACCCCTGAATTGTATGAAGGAAGAGACTGGGGCCCACAGAGAGGAGATGACTTGCCTCAGGGGGCCTCACACAGACACAGCTGGCTCGGCTGGATCTAGATCTAGACCCAGGATGCCCATCACGCCACACTTCCACACTGAAAGGATTGCATCCAAACTCAAGGAATAACAGGCCCACATTCAGGAAACATCCGCTAAGAGTCAGCTGTGTGGCAGGGCCTGTGCTTGGCTTGTCTCCATTTTGCTATCTTGCTCAGTTCTCAGGCAAGGAACTGCCGGGGGCGTGGAGTCTCAGGCCCCTGGCCAGGCCATTCAGCTAATGGGGTACAGCCGGAGCTGGGCCCAGGATCTGGCTCCTGATCAGGCCTTCTCTCTTATACTCTATTCCTGCAGGTCTGAGTAGGACCTGCTTTTGACTTCTCTGTCAGCCCATCCAAGGGCTACAGGTTGATGAGGCTGGCTGAGAAAAGCAGAGGTGGGAGTGGGGTGGGTGCAGCCCTCTGCCTCCAGGAATAATTCAGGCAAGTCGCCTGGAGGTGAGGGTCAGGGGTGTGAGGCCAGCAGGGGTGCTTTGCCTGGCAGTTCAGGTGGATGGGAGCTGTCACGGCTGGTCACATCATCCTTCCAGACACCCCTTTCTCAGGATGTCCCTGCTGGAAGGGAGGCGCTGCTGCAGAACGCAGTTAAAGAGGAGCTGGGCAGAGCAGGATGAGGAAGACCTAACAACTGCACCTTCTCTGTGAGAACCTGGGTCCTTAGATGGTAGGGATACCCTTGAGAGGGTCTTATGAGCCAGCTTTACCTGGGGATACTTGCTGAGAAGCTTGGGGCTGCTGAGCACTCCTCTTTGGAGCACTGTGGCTGAAGGGACTCCTGACCCTTGCTCAAGAAGGGACCTGTGGCAGGAGGGCCCAGCTTATCTGCTGCTAGTATTCAAGGTGGGGGCTTGTGGGCTCATCAGGCCCTGGTGACTGTGGTGTGATTGTGCTCTCCCTGTCCTCTGCACGGTCCCCAACCTGTGTGTGGGGGGCTACTGGCAAGGGATATGAGACCTTGCCCAGCTCCCACCTGCAAATGGGGTTGCCTCTGGCTGGGGAGGAGGCATCTGTCCAGCTGGATTTGGACCTGGGCAGTCTTTGGCTTCCCTGGCACTGGCAGGGCTTTCTGCTCCCAGGTCCTGGTTGCTGTGGGCGGCAGGGCAGGGGGAGGTGGGGAGATCAGGGTTCATGTCCTCACCCTGCCACCACCTGTCAGTCTGTCCTTAGGCAGGAGTTGGTCCCACTCTGGGCCTCAGCGTCCTTGTCTGCCCATGCAGGATTGCCCCTGTGGTCCCCAGGGTTCTCCAGCTTGGGGCTTCATCTCTGCCTTCCCTCCACTGCACTCCCTGCCCCAGCTCCCTGGGAGGCCCAGACCTGAAGGTTCCTGGAGTTAATCAGTTGTTCTTGGCGTCAGGCTCATGGGCAGGATGGCGGTGGTGTTTTCCTCACCTTTGTACCTCAGTGCAAAGTTAAGCACCAGGTCTGGAGTAACAGATCAGTTTGGGGACCCCTGAGATGTGCTGTGGTGAAAGGAATCATGACAGTCCTGAGCTGTTAGGGTCCAGGGACAGATGTGCATCATCTGAAATTGATGTGATTACTATGGCTATTTCACAGGCAAGGAAATTGAGGCAGAGGCAATTGGCTGAGGTCATCCAGAACCAGGACATAAACGTACCCAATCTCATCTCAGTGGTGTCACCCACTGGCCTCAGCCTCTGCCTCCTCATCAGCCCTGCCTCTGGCACAAGAGCTCAGACTTTGGGTCCCTCCCAGTCCAGCAAAGCCCCTGCCCTGTGTGAGCTTGGGAGCCTCACCTGTAGACCCCAGCCACTCTTGGCAGCTCTCCCTGCCAGCTGGCGCTTCCATAAGAGCAGGAGCCCTGGCAGGGGGTGCAAGGATCCTACCCTCCCAGGCTCTGCTCACTGTCAGCAGGGGAGGAGGGGAGCACCGGGCTAAAATTAGATTCTGGGTTTCTTCATGCTCCTGCATCCGTCCTCTTTTCCGTTCGGGCTTGGGGAAGCTGTTGTCAGAAGGCCAGCACTAGAAGGGCCTGAATGTCAGCTTGCACCCACCCCCGGGCTTGTCTGCTCTGATCTTCTCACACCCTGGACTGGCCCTGGCCAAAGGCTCCTGCCCTTTGTGTGACCTTGAGACCAATGATTGATCAGTAGTGATTTCAGAGATGAGGCGCCCATTTACCTCCCACCCACTGCCCCCTGGGATTCTCTGTCCCCTCCTTCCTCTATTCTCCCTTCTCCTCCCTTCTTCCCTTCCCCTATCCTGGCCCTTCCCACTTCCGGGTCCTCAGTGACTCCCCCTTCTCTGAGCCTCCCACTCCTTCCTGCTGACTGCCTGACCCCTGCCTCGCCCAGGGGAATGGTCCTGACTCTTCATGAGCCTATGGGCTCCATGGAGCAGTGGTGCCTGTGAGGGGACCGAATAGACTGGAGACCAAAAAAGAGCCTCCCTCCCTGGAAAGTCAGGGCTATTTCTGTCCCTGCAGCAGCCCATGGGGCTCCCTGCTTTCCGGCAGGGCAGGTGGGGGAGGTGCTGAGGGTCCTGACCTTTGATTTCCCCAGGGAGGGGGCAGGCCCCTTCTGGAGCTGCAGATGGACCCCTCCAATCTCAGAGCAGCTGGGGCTCAGATGGAATTTCCTCCCCATGTGTGGGGACTGGAGCTGCTTCAGGAGGGAAGAGGGCTGGGCTGTGGTGTGGGGCACCCAGGTGTCCTGGTGTCACAGGCCAGCCCAACCCAACCACAGCCATGAAGGGAGGGTGAGAGGCTACCTGAGCGCGCTGCTTGGATTCCCCAGGCACTTGTCGGGGAGGCAAGGGTTAAACGCAGCCATCCTCCTCCCAGTGCAGAAAGGGCTGCTGAAGCAGCCACTGCAGCAGGCTCCATCGGTCCCTGTTTGTCAGGTGCAGCTTTGATGCAGCTGAAACAGCTGCAAATCTCCAAAGGCTGTGGCCCCTCTGTCCTTGCTGGCCTGGCAGCTGGATTTGGGTGGGCACCTAGCTGGCAGCTCATTGAGGGATTCCTCAGCTGTTTCCAGGGTCCAGAGGCTCAGGGCGTGATCCTAGGAGGACCACCAAATTGCTGGGTGGCCCCAGGCAAATCTGCTCACCTCTCTGGGTTTCAGATGCCTTCTTGTCAAGTGAGGGGGTTGGACAGGAGCGTGGTTCTAATGATGTTCTGGGTGCTGCCCCAGGAACCCCTGGGCAGGGGAGACACGAGGGAAACCAAGGCCTCCTGCCCCTTACTCTCCACCTTTCTGCTTGTTGACTGTTCAGAAAGCAGCTCCCTTCCCTGCTCACCAGGCTTCCTCCTCTGCCCTCCTGCCTGCACCCACATGGCCTTCATCCTCCAACCCCACCAGGGCTCAAGTCACACCCCTCAGTCACCTCCCCATCCTGCCCATGATACCTGTGTCCTGGGAAAATCTAGGTGGCTGAGCCCCAGAAGGGTCATCTTGAAA